GATTTTTTAGACTGCATGCTTGATCTTTCGTTGTTTCAAATCAATTCAATTTCTAATCATATGAATAGAACACTTGACCTTGTATTTGTTAACGACTACCTTATTTCTAATGTGTCTAGGTCACCTCCTTTATCTCTTCCTGAGGATGTCTATCATCCAACTTTAGAGATTGCAATGCTAAATTGTAATCCTTCCATTTCGTGCTCATCAGCCAATAAGCCCCGCTATTGCTTTCGCAAAGGAAATTATTCCTTGCTGAATCAGCTTATTTATTCAACCGATTGGTCTTTCTTATATGACTCAGTTGATATGAATACAGCCATTAATTCTTTTTATATCACCCTAAACTCCCTCTTAGATGTGTGTATTCCTAAGTCAATTCCTTCGACTACTTTTTCAAAACCACCCTGGTTTACTCCCAGATTATCACATCTAAAAAATGTAAAATCCAAATATTTTAAAAAGTTTAAAAAGTCTGGTTCGTGTACAGACTTGGCTAAATATTCCATAGCCAAGTCGAACTTTTTTCTTCTTAATTCTCAATGCTATGAGAATTATCTAATTCGTTGTAAAAGGCAATTCGCCCGAAATCCGAGACAGTTTTATAATTTTGTAAACTTGAAGCGTAAGTCTTCAACTTTGCCATCTTCTTTTTTTCTTGGGATGGATAAAGCTAGCAATGACACTGATTCTGCTAACCTCTTTGCTAATTTTTTCCAATCAACTTACTCTTCAGTCTGTCCTAATACTAATTCTTACCCTTATACTATTTCCTCCGCTAGTTCTATACCTCCCCCCATTATTTCACACTCCTCTCTCCTATTAGCTATAAACTCTCTAAAATCTTCTTACTCTCCTGGGCCGGACAATATTCCTAGTTGTCTACTCAAGGAGTGCAGTTCTTCCCTTTTCTATCCATTGCTAAAGCTTTTTAATCTATCCCTTGAAACTTCTGTCTTTCCATCTCTTTGGAAAGAATCTTATATCATTCCTCTTCACAAGAAAGGTGGGAAGTCTGATATACAAAATTACAGGGGCATTGCAAAACTGTCTGCTATTCCTAAATTATTTGAAAAAATAATCACTTCGAATTTGCAGCATTTCTGCAAATCAGTTGTTTCCCCTGTTCAACATGGATTCGTAAAGAATCGGTCAACTACGACCAATCTGCTTGAGTTTACTTCCTTGGTAAATGATGCTTTCCTTTCGAAAATGCAAACTGATGTCATTTACACTGACTTCAGCAAGGCGTTTGACTCTGTGCACCATGACATTTTACTTTTTAAACTTGACCGAATAGGTTTCCCTCTGTCCCTTTTACTTTGGATTAATTCTTATTTAAAAGGTAGGACCCAAAGAGTAATACTGAGGTTGACTACCTCTAAAAGGGTTCACGTTACTTCTGGTGTTCCTCAAGGTAGTCATCTTGGACCTTTACTCTTTACACTTTTTATAAATGATCTTCCTTCTGTTATATCACATGCCCGTGTACTCATGTATGCGGACGATGTCAAACTTTTTCTATCATACACTAACCCCCTACATCATTCTCGTCTACAAGACGATTTGAACGCTATGCAACTTTGGTGTTCGGCCAATCAATTGCATCTAAATTGTTCAAAGTGTATGTTTATGACTTTTAATCGTACTACACCTTATCTTGTTAGTTATACAATCGACAATATCCCTTTGCAACGTATACTAACAGTTAAGGATCTAGGCGTTATTTTTGATTCTAAACTCTGTTTCAATCTTCATATAGATACCATTGTTAATGAGGCAAAAGGTGTACTTGGATTCATTAAACGATGGTCTAAAGAGTTTAACGATCCTTTTATAACAAAACTTCTGTACATCTCTCTTGTTCGCCCTATCCTTGAATACTGCTCTTGCATCTGGTCTCCACAGTATATCAACAGCCAGGATCGTATTGAATCTGTTCAGAAGCAATTTCTGCTTTTTGCCTTACGAGGTTTAAATTGGGACCCTAATCTTCGGTTGCCGTCCTACTCCAGCAGACTGCTTCTTCTCAACCTTCCGTCGTTAATCAACCGTAGGACAATTCTCGGTGTTGTCCTTCTACATAAGTTGATTATTGGCGACATCGATTCTCCTTTTCTGCTAGGGCGTCTTCAATTCTCTGTTCCGGCTAGACCAACCAGAAATTATCGCCCCTTATTACTATCTACGTGCACAACTGATTACGCTATGCACAATTCTTTTCGCGTGCTATGTAAAAATTATAATAGTTTGCATCACGTTTTCTCTACCGAACTGTCTCTACCCCTAATAAAATCGTTGCTTTCAGGATACCTTCGGGAAGTCGCTGACCATTCCCAGCTATGAGCAGGGGCATAGCTAGCCGGACAGGCTGAAAAATTTTCCCCCACCGTGTAGGTGATTTCCCAATACTTTTCTCTTTGTCCTATCCACTTAACACTCTTTATCTAACTTACATTGCTTTACTTTATTAACAATTTTCTTACTTTCTTTTTTCCTATTTATTGTATTTTCTTTATTAATTTAGCAAATTAAGATTATTTTTAATTTCACTTGAGATCACTTTTTTCCTACTTACAACCTTCTGCTTAGATGTAGGCTCTAATAGCGTCACTGACAAAATTAGCTGTGAAAAGGGGCACAGCTGGCCGGACTGGCAAATAAAACACCTCCATCGGTCGGTGATGCTATTTAGAAAATTGTATCCTTTAACTAGGCTTTTAGAATATACTTATATTGTACAACCTTTTGAATAATGAGGAAGACACTCGTTTTGTCGACCATTAATAAATAAATAAATATAAAAAAATAAATAGCTAGCACTAGATTTAGTTACATTAACTCGAAAGAATTTTTACATATCCATAAAAGATGGATAAAAGACAGTTAGAAATTGCAACTGGTACATACTAGTGCAATAAACTCGAAAGGTCGAGCGAAGGCACACACAACAAAGGCTACGGATAAGAGACGGATTTTTGCATTAGTTTAAAGTTTTAAGTATATAGACCCAAGCGAAATCAATAAGGCTCGGGTCTCAGCGGTATCTCATTACATACTTATTTTTCAAATTCTTACATGGCATGTAGAAAAATCGGCTGCCTGCAAAATAATATTTCGATAATAGGGTATCTTCGTGCTTGATTACAGCGGTATCTTTATATATATGTAATTTAAATCATTTGAAATGATAAGAGTGATGAGAAACAGTTTTATTCTTATTAGCTTTACCCATTTATACAGCATAATTTTAAGTTATATTTCTTTTAGCAATAGATACAACACTTTTAAACAACATCAAGATCAACTCGAAATCCTTATTGAAACGATTTCAATAAAAGAAAAATTTTGGGTTCAACAAAATTTCCGATAGTCGCCGGCACGAAAAAGTAATCAATGTGCAGGCAATTCAGCTACATTCATTGCCCATGTTTGCGTTAGATGTTAGACAAAACTGAACAAGAGACTGGCCCAAAAATGCGCACAGCATTTGGAGCCAGTGCTCACACAGTGGCCCAGCCAAGTCAAATAATGCACATGGTCCATATTACGGCTCGATGGGCTTAGTGTTGCATTGCCCGCTCAATGGGATGCATTGAGGCGTGTCCTTGAAGCGACCGCAGCCCAGGAGCCACTATGCCCGCCAATGCCATTACCGGGCCATTGCAAGCCCACCACTGCGCCCGCAAACCCTTTAGCCCCTCCATCAGCATTGATGCGCTTAGCACTGCCACAATCTAGTATCTGCCAGGGTGCCTGGTTCAAGCTATTGTGAAGCCGGAACGAGACAGGGAGAGAGAGAGAGTATGTGCGAGTGATAGAGCGTGAGAGAGAGAGAGAGAGAGAAACAAAGTGGGGAGTGATGGAGGTAAAGTCAAACAGTTTGCAGTTGAAATAACTTAACCACCCATCAATTCGCTTAATGATCAGAGTTGGGTGGGGTTTAGTCGCGGACTCAGTGGGTTTAGCTGCCAACCGCAGCTGCAGTCTAAAACGGAAACAAGCGTTGCGCGTGGCCATGTGTGCAGTTTCTGCGGTGTGTGTGTGTCTGTGTGTGTCGCAGGTGCATGCTACATGCACAGAGATGCAACTGTTGCACACTGGCTGCTCAAATATTATTACAAACGGCAATAGATACGCGCTATACAGATACAGGAGTGAAAAATGGCAAATGGTTTGCGCTGGCAATACGTTTGCGGATTTTCAAATTGGTATACGGGGCGTATACGCCACACTCGAGCAGCGGCAACAACAACGTGCAAATCTCGTTAGTGAAATGACACACACAAACGCACACATAGATAAATATATATTTATTTATGTACATACATATACAAAGCGTAAAGGGCAGACATAAATATGTTGTGCAAAATTTATGCGTTGCATGCCGCGACGGCGACGGCGATGGCGTCGACAACGGCGACTGCAACCGGCACCGGCAACGGCACCGGAAGTGCACTTATGCCGCACTTCTATTTCCGCTGCAGTTTTCAGTTTGCTGTTGCAGCCACAATGCATAGATTTAGATTGATGGCACCAGCCGATAGCTCCTCATGCTATGCCCTCTAATTGCTCGACATATTCCATTTATTTATTTTTTAAGCAAAAATTTATCGACTCTAAAATTCCTCTTAATAGCATTCACGATGTATTAAAGACACACTACCAATTGTGTTGGTTTCCCTTACAATTTTCTTTCATTACATTTTTAAATGGTTTTTTTAATTGAAATTTATTCTCAAATGTATTTTCACCATGAATAAAATGATGATTATATTGTCATATTTGTAGTCTTGCAGTTCAGCCCGCCCAACCTGAATTAAAAAAGATGGCATGTGAAGGCAATCAAATGCTTAAATAGTTGACAAAAAAGAAGTTCTTGTTTTGTTCGACTAAGACTGGAATTATTGTCTGCTATATGTTAAGCCTCTTAGACAGAATGACTTATGACAAGTGAATTTGACTTTGAATATTACTTTTTAATTGATTGAATTACTTACCAATAGATCATATTCTTGTAACGTTTCACGCAAAGAATTTCATTTGTAAAAGTAGACACTGAAAAGATATGAAATAATAAATGCAAAATTAAAATAATATATATGTGAAACCGAGTCTAAATCAACTAAAGGGAACGTTATTTAAATATAAAATTAAAGTTTTCCCCTTATTGCGTTACACATAGTCGACAAATTTCTGACGCCCTCGCTAGGATCATTTGAAGTGCCCCTCCCGCTACACAGAAGGCAACTTTATAGGGCTGTCAAGTTGTTTGATTGATCCCAGAACAAGAGGCATAAAGTTTCCTTATTTGCCAAATGGCACTGGCTGAGAGATACAGAGAAAATGGCAACCGTTGAACATGTTGGCAACACATTCATGCTGCAGTGCAGTCGCGCTGCCACCAAGCTGATGGCAACGTGCGGCACGTGTCAATCAATGTGACGCATCGGGTTTTGGCAAATATTTGGCAGAGTAGCAGCGAAAACTGTTAACTGTTAACTGTTAACTGTAAGCTGTAAGCTGTAAGCTGAATGCTGTAAATAATAATAAACGATTTGCTGTTGTAAATGTCGACCAGGCAGGCACGCATCAGTAAAGAGTTGCATGCTGCGTTTGGCAGGCAACGAGTGAGGTAAGAGCAAAGCCGCCGCAACATTGTTGATGCTTCTTGCTGCATGCTGCTTGCTGCTTGCTGCTTTAAGTAATCCGATTTAAAATGCACCAAATATATAATGCAGCCACACAATCGTATTCGCATGCGATCACGTCGCTTGAGCCACGTCAAGCCCTTCCCCTGCCTAACCACGTCCCCTGTGCAGACACTGCCTGTTTTGCGTGTGAAAGGCGACATGGCAAGAGCAACGCACTTGTGCCCAATGTTACGGTGTTGTTGTCAGTGTTGAATAACGTCAAACTACACACATCGCACTTATGCACATCAGCATATATGTGCACATCATATATATGTATAGTAAAGAATATATATACATGCATATATGTAGTAACGGCTTGCCATTGAGCTGAGCCAGGAATTGGTTCGGTATCCAGGGCTCACTTGGCTTCTACTAACTGCTGCAGCCCAGCATGTTGGGGCTTGTACTCGTATTTTGCGCATTACTTGCTTATATATTTTTTTTTGCTCACAAATCCCCACCACCTACTCCTTTGCATTACCCTTTTGTGTCTGCAAGGGTGCGTGTGTATGACTGGTACTAATCTTGCTGCGTTGTCGTTTGCGACGTCAGCAACGTTGTCGCCTTCAAATTCAATCTGCATTTCATTTTATATTATTTCTTTAAGCCGGCACGCTAAAGAATCTTCGACCTGCACATGGTATTCGGGCGTTGTCCAACACTGTAATACGCAGTTGCTGCAACTGCAGCTACAAATGGTGTTGCATACTTTGGGGCGCAGCTATTTATTAGGCATTTATTTAGCGTATTTTTGTGTGTTTACCAATCCAAATGCAATGAAAAATGATGCCAAGCGATGACATAGCACAGCAAATGGGGGAAACACACACACACACAAACACATACACCCACCGCATATACACACGACATGTGGGCGTATTTTATCAGTAAATTAATGATTATTGCGACAATGCATATGAATATATAAATAAACAAAAATACGCCATCAACAAATAAATGCATACATAAATAAAACACGGCTCTCTATATATGCTTAAATAGATATCTATATAAACATATATGTCTCTATATCCGAGAGTTTTTGTGGGTGCCTGGGTGTGTGTGTGTCTGTGTGCGTGTGTCTGTTTCTGTGTGGCAGTCATAACAATAACAGTGCAAAATCTCTTAGATTTCAACCGCAAATTGTAGCCGTACGGAAAGAGAGCGACAAAGAGAAAGAATGGGAGGGACGGAGAGAGACATATATTTATATATTTATATATCTATATGTATGTATGTGTTTACTCTAACATATACAGAGGTAAAGAGTGGAGGCCGTCACGCATACAACGTAAAGGCGGAGTCGTGGCGGCATCTCCTTTATGCAATGCATGGAGCAAAGATATGCGAATGCCTTTGGGCACGTACAATCCATTCATTCAGCAAATACCAATAATAGACACGTACGCTGCGCAAAAGAGACACAACGAGAGCGAAAAAGGGAGAGAAAAAAGCTAAAGGCACAGGCATTTGAAAATAGCACAACAATAACAGCAAAAGCAACTGCGACAGCAACAACAACATGACAAAAAGTCAATGAATGCCAGCGTAAGTAAAGCAAATTTGCTAAAGACAATGCGACTTTCAAGTCACTAGAGCACACGCTGAGAGAGTGCGAGTGAGAGCAAGAGCGAGAGCAAATAGGAGACAAAACGTATGAGAGAAAAAGATGGATGCGTGGAGGTAGCAAGCGTTGCGACACACATGGCATAAGAAAACAATATGGCAAAACAATATAGATAAGTTCAAACAACTGCCGTTTCCTAACTCAACTCCCCCGCACAGCCCCATACAGCCGTTCTATCGTCCTGTCTCCCTCTCAAACACGCCTTGGAATGAAAATGTTTTTCTTCTGGGCCAAAGAATTTACGCCACTTAATGCATGTGTGCTGGCAACAACAACAACAGCAGCAACAAACACAAATAGGACGTCGACAACTCGCAGTTATAGTAATAAGTAAGTATGTAAGTAGTTTGCCATTTGACTTTCAGCTGCTTCGTATGCTCCTGCTGCTGCTCGTGCTGCTGTTGCTGGTGCGTTGCATGCCACAGCGATCGTTAATCAACATTGCTCGCTTGGCTCACTTGCAACTCTCTTGCCGTGGAGGTGGATTTTCCAAGTGATGCTGCTTCCGGTATTTTGTCATGACTTTGTCGCAATGAGTCGACACAGTTTGCCACTCACCCGACAGCCAGACCACCTTCTTTGCCCGGCTGCCTGTCTTACGGAATTTTCATTTATTTTTGCCGCGCGCTGTCATACGCTGCGTATGCGCAGCATTCTCTGTCAACAGTTGTCACTCAAGCGCGCGGAATAAAATACTTAAGAGCTGAAAATACAATGCAGAATGCGAATAAAAAGAGCAACTTTTTACTTACATATTATATTTTTTTTTTGTAAGTGTGCTTTGTTCTTAAATTTTTATTGCTGCCATTCAAATATTTTGTTTAATTTTTTTGAGCCTTCCTTCTTTGGTTTAAAACACCAAAAGGCGTTGAGAAAAGAAACATGGATATTGTTAAGAAGTAAATGAAATAAATTATATATACAAAACATGGGAAATACATTATTTGAGTAAATAAATAAATAAGTGCTAGACTTTCAAATTCAATAATAATTCAATAATATTGAATCTAGGAAAGGGGTAGAATACGATGAAAATATCTCTAATTTTGGAAAATAGAGTAAAGGAACCGAGCCTCAAGGGTAGACATTGGATATTACAGCCATAATACTATTACAATAACACCACCGTTTTAATAAATAAGATAACAGTTTAGAGCGTGTGCAATCCATTTGCATTATTTACTCTGTTTATTGGCAAAATGTCTTCTACAAATGGGGAAATAATATACATTACTTTGGTAATGTGCCTTTACAGCCTGTCAAGCTTCTGTTCTTCTTTTTTTTCTGGGATCCTTTTTTTTTTGATCCTCTTAATTTTTTTGTGCTCTTTTGTTGTCAGCTTAAGCTGCTGCCTTGCTCTGGACTGCCGCGTTGTAGTCGTCGCCTCTGTAAAAGCCCATTAAAACGTCATAATCAACATAATCAAAGTGTGAAGAGAGGAACGAAAATCCAGAAAAGGAAATGTAAATGAAACAAAATGAAATTCATATAGAAAAAATTGCAGAATATTGCACGATGGTCAGCTATTTTTGCGTGTGAGTCGTGGCTGGCGCTGCGCTCGTTATTATTTTGCTGGCCTGGACACAAAAGGCGACTAATGCCTGACCTTTGCTTAATTATGGTAATTAGCAAGCAAAACCAAAGCGCCAAAGAAAACTAAACGACCCGAGACACGTCGTCCAAAGTGCAAAGTCCAAAGTCCAAAGTGCCGCCGCACTGCACTGGTCGGCCTGAGCCTGAGCCTGAGTATAACTCCAGCTCTAGCGGGAACCAAGTGGCAGCAGCAGCATCATCCCGATTATGACGTTGACAACAAAGGGGCTGGGGTGGCAGGGCAGACAGTGGAGCAGGGGAGCAGGGTAACAACGGCGATGATATAAATATTAAAACATAGACCGCAGACCATCCAAAGTGACGCTCAAAAATAAAAACAGAAAAGAAGGCGAATAAAAAAGAGCAGTTGGCTCAGCAAAAATTAAACAAAAAAAAAAAATAAATAAATAAAATGAATGAAAATAAAAGCCAAAAAGCGAATTGCCAACGCGCTTAGGGCTCTTTAAACGCCGTCGCGCCCCCTTTTTCGCCTGAAACGCGATAATATTATGCAATATTTGTTTTACATTCTCTGTTTTCTATTTTCATGTTACGCTATTTACTTTCGCGTTCCTGCTTTTTTTGCGCAATATTTAATTTACCGTACATTTTCAAATCTATTTAATGTTAAAAAAAAAAAAAAAAAAAACTGAGTGAAGTTTTCGTATTATCAAAGGTATTTACTTTAAAGTTGCAGTAATTTCTATTTTAACTAATGCATATATATGCTTAAAGTTAGGTTTAATTTAATCCAGAAGAATCTTTAAGCCATAGAATCCGGTTTAAGGCTTTATGTTGAACCAGCTAAGAAGCAGAGGCTTAGAGAACCATTTAATAAGTTCTCAGCTGGTTCAACCTAAAGCTTAAAATTGGGTTTATTGCATTAACGCGATGTCTTTAAGCACGTTAGAAGCTTTAATATGCTTTTAAAGCTGTTGGAACTAGTTTTGTTGGGACGAAAGCTTTTCAATCCCGATCGTATTTATATTAATTTCTGTAAATAACAAAGCCAATTGTTATATCCTATGCAAAATTATGTTGATAATAATAAAAATAGTCTTCATCTAATAATTGTTTTGATAAATTATAATCCATTCGGACACGCCCTAGACCATTTCGTCGCCATCATCTGATTGAAGCCA